AATTCAAGCCCAGTCTGGGCAGTTTAGTGACTCAGAAAGACTCTGTCTGAAAATGAAAATAGAAAAGGGATGGGATGTAGCTTAGCTTAAAAAGCCTGAGTTTATCCCCTGGTAACACACACACACACACACACACACACACACACACACACACACACACAGTTTATCCCCTGGTAACACACACACACACACACACACAGATTTTCCCCCCGTGACACACACACACACACACACACACACACACACACACATAACACACACACACACACACACACACACACACACACACACAGCTTAAAATACCACACAATTAAAATTTTTTATCATGTGATTAGAGAACTTATTTGAAGACAAAAATGTTTAAACCAATTGTTATTTAGAGGTCACAGTTTGAAACAGCCCCCAGTTTCCATTGGCCATAACAATGGAGAAGAGTGGTTAAAGTTCACCCCCCCACATACTTTTTGGTCCTGAGAGGGCAGGAATGGGTGAGTTTCTTGAGCAGCATCCATATGCACAGGAAATGACCACTGACATAATCTTTAAACCGATAATTAAGACTATTTTTCAGTTTGTGATTTGAAATCTTCTGACAGCTAAATACTGTGGTATAATTTATAATGAAAGTGTTTTATTGACAGGTATATTTAACTGAATTCATTTCTCTTATAAGTTGAAACTAAGACTTGTCTAAATGTAGAAAGGGAAACCCTTCCAAGGTTTATATAGTTAGGCAAAATATTAATGTCCCTCATTCCCAACTGATCTGCAGTTCCATCTGTATTATGCTTATAGTCCACAGGAAGCAAATCTACAGAATTTAAAGGGCATTTATTTTTCAGTACAACAGTCAAATATATTAGGCCATCAGCTACCAGTTGTAATAAAAGTACAGTGTAAGCTTGACTTATGAACTCCATCTGTTACTGAGAGCTGGTTGTAACCCAAGTTGGTTGTAAGTCAATACAACTGAGATCTGGATGTTTACCTGGGTATATACTGTAGATAACAAGAGGTAGATGAATCTTCCATTAACCTTATTAACACAAGTTGTTCAAATGTCGGGTCGGTCCTAACTTGAGGGTCTACTGTACATACTAATTTTTTTAGGTATGCAATTTTATAATATTTCTCTTAAATACTCCATTTAAAATTTGGAATCTTAGCTTTTGGGTATCTTTTCAGTTATAAGATACAACATAACAAAAAATTCCAATGTCCATCTTGGAGAAAGACAGCAATAGTACATAACTAGTTATAAGTCACCTGGGAAATTGCTGGAAATCCTCCAGCAGTGATTTAAAAATAACTAACCAAACATGAGTTTGTCACCAGATTGAAGCAACATCTGCCACTGCTAAGAGTCAAAGGTCACAGCTTTTCAAATAAAATATAAGATTAATTTATAATGCACAATTAGAAAAGATGCACATTTATATTATGCCACCCCTTAAAATATCTAATATATAAATTTGGATGAGAAGCAGCCTGTTTGATTTATAATTTCTTCTCCCTACCAGCTAAGAAGAGCAGAAATACAATTTTACATAGAACCAACAAGCAATTTGTCTTATTGCTATGATAGATACAATTTATGCATAGATTTGGTGTGACCACTGCAGAGATTTTTGTCTGTATAGGATTATTTCCTCAGAATCGTACTGTGATAACTAAAGAAAAAAAGATTAAATAATGTGCTAGAAGATATGTATAAAATGAACTTGCCCTATCCTCTAAAAAAAGAACTTATTAGAGCCTGAATATTCTCTTTAATTGGAAATAAGTGGTTGGCTGCTTTCATGAATCTAAAATAAGGCCCTTTGAGAGAAAGGGAAATTAGCAAATAACTTAATCTAAGAAGCAATTTCAACAAAAGTAATTACTATACATTTCAGCAGGGCCAATCAGCATATTTTTCTTTTTGCACAATTTCTTCTAACTTTAAATAAAGATTCTATGAACAGAAAAGAAAGTCACTGTTTAGATTGTAACTCTACAAAGTGGAAAAAGTTGGTTTAAAAAAAGCCTTATAAAGATGTAAAACCATTCTTCATTACCAAGTGGAAATGATTAATTTTTACCTTTTACTTCATTCCAAACATTCACCTCAACAAGACTTTTACTTTCCACATCATTTTTTTGTTAAGCTTAAATTCTTAAAACAAGTGTATATATGCATTTTAATATATTTTGATGTATAACTGGCATACAATAAACTGTACTACACATATTTTCATAGTCAGAAAAAAATACTTAAAAGTGCTACAACTTGTCACACCTCTACAAAAGGTATTTCTCTAGCCCCCAAATTTATTATAAAAGAATTTTAAATGAGTCAAATCACTGAGATGAACTGAAAGAAGTTTAACTGAAGCTTTCCCCTGCAGGTTGTCAAGTAATACTGTGTCCAAATACAAGCATATCCCCTCTTCAGTCCTAATGTATACTCTAGTAAGGAAGCATGGTGAAGAAGCTAACACTATGTAGGTATCCATCCTCTAGATAGATTTGCAAGCATATCGTCAGTGTTGATTAACTATCTAGAGACAAATGTAAATTTAACAGACTAAATTTCTTTTTAAATTAGTGCTTTATTTTAACAGTATCCTTTATGTTGATCATACATCATTAATTATAACAGCATGCTCTTTGAACCTTTCAGTGGAAATTAGAACTTCTCGTCAATCTTTTAAACTACTAACAGCTGTTAGCATATTCAACAATTTAATAAAATGTTATGGAAATCCATGCAGAGATATGCTTCATTGACACTAAAACATTTGTAACTGTACAAGTAGAAATAAAAAGTAGTATCATCAACGGCAAAGCTCTACTAACAGAATTATTCAGGAAAGTCTATTAATTCAATTAATTCTATTAATTAAAAGCACATTTTCCCCCCTTTCCCAATGAAATGCTGTAAAACCTGGTACCAAACTAATAGATAAGCATTATTAACAAGAAAATACTTTTGTTCTAAAATTCCTACATTAAATTTAGTGTTTACAGGCCTGTTTGAGGAACGTCAAAGTTTTTATTTCATTCCTTAAACTCTGTTTAGCACCTTGTATGCCAATAAAATAATTGTGAATGGCTGAATCTAAATCTAATTGTACTTTTTATTTCATTTAATGTTAAATGAGTGCATAAATATATTCACAAATACTTAAATACACACATTTGTATTACATATTAATGTGTAGGAAGCTTTTTATTGGTCACATTTTAAGAATATTTACATTAAAATAATAAAACTTAGAATTTATTGGCTATAAGCCAAAACAAGGTCATGGACTCTGAATCAGTTGAATGATAGTTCTTGCTTTCAAATGATCTTTTACTTCATTTAATTGCCAAAAGCTGGAAGAAAACCGAGGTGAAAAGAAAATACAACTTTAAAATACAAACTTTAACTGGGTTGAAAAATAAATTAACTATATGTTGGAAAGTATAGTAGAGATTGAAAAGAAAAGCAAGAAATGATAAAAGGGAATCTAAGTCAGCAAAGACATAATTGATGTTGATATTTTTTGAGGTGTCTCTGCTGTACTCCATTGTTTTGGGGTGCCATGTGTTCCCTGATAAACATCTCTATTCATGGCTCAGACCATATGCAATTTCTCTAAAATTTTCCAATTTACTAAAGCTGTTGGCATATTTAGCAATTTAATAAAATGTTTAAAACATCTATGACAGAAATAACACTTCTTTGGCATTAAAACATTTGCAACAAGACGAAGAAATTTTTAAAAGTATTGCCAAAGGCAAAGCTTTATTATTTCACAGGATTTTTCAGCAGACTCCTGCTGAAAATTGAAACCAGTGGTGTAATCAGACCTATTACTCCCTGGGCACTTAATGGTGTGCAGTACAGTGGGAGAGGTCTCCTTGTGGAGATTCATACTGTTGCAGATTCAGGGGGGCTTGCTCAGTCCTGAATGTATTTCAGGAAAACTGAGGAATCTTTAGATATCCTCAAAGTACAGATCACTGCCAGAATTTCAAAATTACACAGGATTTCCCATTTCATAATGCACAAAGAGGTAGACTGTGAACAACTGGCATGGGCAAAAGGAGCCTGATATTATCACTGGCTGAGGAAGGTCATGGGAATCTACTCAAGGCACCAGATAGTCACACAAATTCCAGGTGGTTACAGCTAAATTTATCTATGCTTATCTAGCTTAGAACCTGAAGGAGGATGGGGTGGATATGGTGCTACCAGGAGGAAGGCGGACAAACCCTGCAGCCCAGTGACTCCTGGACTACTATACATACTGGCTGTATGTATTCCGAGTACCTCCAACAAGCTGGAAGCTTATACATTATCTCTTAATATTGGCTGAATTTCTAGAAAGGTGACCATGCCTTGTCTTATGGAGCAAACCATTTCTAATTCTCCCAATTTTCTAGGAAGGACAAATAACTAATTATAGAAGTTACTGCAACAGTATTTACAAATATATAGACAGCCAAACTGAATAAATGATCTTGTATCTTCCAATTAAAATGGCTTCTTAGAACTAAAGACAACTGGCTTCCACAAAAATGGAATACTGGTATATTATAAACCCATACTAGAAAGATTGTACTGACAGATACTGGCTTTTAAATCTCTAATAGATACACTACAGAAAATGTGTGCATACTCTGGAGAGAGAGAGAGAGAGAGAGAGAGAGAGTGTGTGCCCGGCTCTGTGTATGTGTGTGTGTGTTTGTGTGTGTGTGTGTGTATATGTAGTTTGCTTTTGTGTCTTCTCTTTTTTCTAATAGTTTCTCTTGCATTATATTAGCAGTGACCCATTGAACAGATAAGCAGTGTGCTTTATACAAGACTCATTTCATGTTTTAGACAGATAAATCTGAACAATTTAACTATACCTTACAATGTAAACTTGCAGAAATGATGTTTTTATGTCTGATGTAATAAATATAGAATTACTTCATAGTACTTAAAAACATTAGCCACCACTTCTACCAGCTCCCATTAAAGAGAGAGCCTAAAGCTGCGAGTCTGTTGGAGCGCTGTTATGACTTGCTTTTTCTCCGGAGACAGAATGCTGCAGAAACTGACCAGTAGCACCGATGTACAATCTTGAGCGCATGGGCCATTTCTGGAAAAGAATATTTAAATAAGAACCAAAAGTTATCTATAACATACATATCATATGTGTGTAATATTAAACATTCCAAATACCCTAATGAAACTGATCACATAATTAGTAACAATAATAATTAGGAATTTTAAGGGGCAGCATGAAAAAGTTTATTGATGCTAGCAATAAAAGTAACAATATATTGACTTTGATTATAATAAAAAACATGTGCAAATAAATAAGCACTAGAAGAAGTCATGGAGAATATAGTTGAAGTGTAGAAAAATATATGTATTTACAATGTTTTAGTTAAACCTAAAACAATTAAATGTAAAACATATCTGTAAAGAATGAGTGCTTTATATTATACATAAAGTTATATAAAATTGAAATGATACAGAGAAGATTAGCATGGCCTCTGAGCAGAGATAACATGAAAACTCATGAAGCATTTCATATTATTAAGTTTTGGTGCTCTCCTGCAAAGTACAGAGACTATAGATAATAATATACTTTAAACTCTACCATCCTGCAGCAATATCCTCAGCCTCTCATTTGATACACTCTTATATAAGTCCCTAACAGTTTTAACATGCTAATAATATAGGTAATAAGTACTGATGATTCAAAATCACAGCAGTGAAATATTTGTTAAAAGATATTTGTTATCAGAGTAGGACTTAATAACACTATGAAAATAAAATCATTTTAGAACACCTACTAAGGTTATAACAGTTTGCAATGAATCCTTTGTTAATCAAAAAGTAAAAATGATTATTTTTATTCCTTTTGCATTAAACATTTTGTCAGTGTCTCTAAAATAATGTGTTAACATGAGTTTTTAATTATGTATGTAAAATCTCTTTCCTTTTTGAAACTTTGAACCTTCATTTCCCATAGTTATAGCTCTTTCAGGGTAACATTTTACTTTAGAGTATTGTACTCTTGTTTAAACATTATTTTTGTTTTCATCTCTATAATATGTTCATTTAGGGCAAGGACTTTTTTTTTTTTTTTTTTTTTTGGCCACACCAGGTATTGAACTCAGGGCCTTCACACTAAGAAGCTACATCTCCAGCCCTTTTTAAAATTTTTTATTTCCAGACATGATCTCGCAGAACTCAGGCCCTTGAGCTTGCAAAGCAGGCACCGGAACCACTGAGCCAAATCCCTGGCAAGGGCAGGTACTTATTCTTAACTAATAATTGTAATCATTGTCTTCAAATAGTGCTTTACACAGAGGAGGAACTCAGATTTTTTAAAATTTGAGAATATGTTATTGACTATCATCAATTTCATTTTTAAGAAATAATCTGGCCTTCTATCATTGCCTCCAGAATTATCTTTTTATTTTGTTTTGTGGTACTGGGGGTTGAGCCTAGGACCTTCCCACTGAGCTACATTCAGCCTTTAAAAAATTTTTTTTTTGAGATAGATTCCTCTCACAAGGTTGCCAAGGCTGGGTCAAATTTGGTATTCTCCTGCATCAGCTTTGCAGAGTGCTGGGGTGACAGGCAGTTCAGAGTTGTCTTTAAAAATCAAAATAATTGATACAGAGGACAAATAAGAATTAAATTTTCTTAAAATAGTATTAACTACAAAATATTTGGTCGATGAACCAAATACAAAAAAGCTTACTATGCTTATTGCTACATTCTAATATTGATGCTTCTAACATTACTCATCTAAAGAAAACATTGAAACCAAGGTGAAAATTTGATTCCTCCTTCTGAATTATATTTCACACAAAGGAGGCATTTTAACATATGCTTTTTGTATTAAAATCTACTTAATGTTAAAAACTTTCTTAGAGCATATGGCAAATGTAAATTAAAAGAAATCTACATTAGTGGTATATCTGAGTAACAAACTGATGCACACTAATACAAAGCCCTTTAAAAGAGTTCCTTTTCAGTTGAGATTATAACATTCATTGATAGGATGGAGGTCTATCATAATTATAAGTAATAATATTTCATTCTTTTATATGTAATATTTGAAAGGGCCTAAATCTGTCATTATGCTGATTACATCTGCTAAATAAATTTTGTTAACCCTCACCCAACTGTAAGTTCAGTTAATATTAGAGTGTGCTTTATCATATTTCAACAGTGATCCTCCAGTATTTATTGGACACTGATATACTTAAGGCTAAGTCCTGATTTTGTGTTTATGTGTTAAAATACTCCAGAATAGTGGAACCAAAAATTTGAAAGTTTAGGTTTAGCAAGTACAGAGACGATCACATGTTTTGAAAAGAAAGCCAGATCAAGGGAAGGTTTCGAAACAATCAAATCTAGGAGAAAAGGATGATGCAGAGACTACTGCAACATGGGTAATACATCATAGTTTTTCTAGTGTTCTTACTAGCTGTCTAGTCCATGATATTTAACGTGTATTTGAATCGACTGAAAATTTACTCCTCGAGAATGCAGAATGGTCTCATTTGTTCTTACTATTTTTACCAAAACCTTCTAGACAGTTTTCTTATGGTTATTTAGGAGAAGCTAATTTCATGACTATTTAATTCGTAAAACTTTTCAAACATTCCATGAAAAATACAACGGAAATGTAATTATGTACCCTAAAAACACTTTAAAACTTTCAAAGGATCATAAATGTAATTCAGATACTACAAATTATAAGGATGCGCAACCAAGTCCCCCCACTTCTCTCCTTGATATACACAAAAATCCTTAGGCTGCCAACCTGTAAGCAGCAGGAGAGACCCCCATATAAATCACTCAGGCTTTAACCATATCCTCCACTACCATACTTGCGAATAGTTAAGTAGCAGTCTAGTGTAGTGAGGGGTTTGCCACCAAGTCACTTTGCTGGTCTGTTCCCCTTCACGCTAGGGATGAGAGGTCAGTGGTACCTGCCAGCGAGTGACAGACAGGGCCAATGTGTTCCACCCCCACTGTGCACCCTGCCTACCTACCTTGACCGGGTGCAGGTAGCCATCGCCACGCAAAGCGCCCAGACTAGGGTCTGCCGGCGCCTCGGCGTCGTCCTGCAGGCTGCGGGTAAGATGCGCGATGTAGGTGGTGGCCAGCAGCAGCACGTCCAGCTTGGACAGCTTGGTGTCGGGTGGCACCGACGGCAGCGTGCGCTGCAGCTCCAGGAAGGCATGCCGCAGAGTCTGCACTCGGCTGCGTTCCCG